CACGAGTGAGGAGCGAGGTGATTCGTGCTCCACCTCAGCTTCCAGGCAGCAGCAGCAGGACTCGGAGGAGGAGAGACGGAGGAGGCTGAGGGAGGAATTCACACCATCTTGCTCGTGAGGTGGTCGTGCTTGAAGCCTCCACGCCTGGATAAACCCCATCAAAAGCGCATTAGCCCTCTATTCTCCCGCCTCCCCCTCCTGTTCCCTCCCCTCCTCCTACATGCGTCCCCCCTCCCCACCGTCGTATAATAGTATCTGGCCGGGCCACGCGGCTCACTGACACATAGCTGGGCGAAAGGGGAGCGATGATGAATTGCTCCCTGTTGGTGTTATCCATGATGATAATTATTAATTTTCCCCCTGCTCCTCTCGGAGAATGGGGGCCGGAGAGCTGCAGCGCTGCAGAGCTTCCTCCGTGGGCCGTCAGGAAGCCCACTGTCATCACTTATCACAGACAGAGCCGGGGCCCAAGGCTAAACGCTGATGAAAATGAAACGCACTCGTTCTGATTTGTCCTGTTTTCACTGTGTGGGTGTGTGTATGTGTCTCCGAGCCTTAAGTTTATCCTTTCTTTTCCTTCCCCCTTCCCTGTCTGTCTCTGTTACTTCCTCACCTCTCTCTTCCTCCCCCATGCGGTGGGGACTACATAAGTTCCCAGGTATAATGTAATTTATTGTTTTGTTCATTCTCAGCTCAGTCTCAGTCTCATTAAACTCCCCTTCGGCAGCTTTTTTTATTTTTTTTTAAGCTAACGAGCTAAACATACTGTTTTCTACCTGCTCAGCACCAAACAGTAGTTCGTTATACACCAGCTGGTGGAGAAAGTCCAACACCTAGCAGCTAAAGAGCCAGGTAGTAGCTCTATAAGTTGGTGGACACAACTTCTTCTTCAGTTCTCAAAATATGTAGATTTAATCAAGCTGTTTTTTTTTTTTAGCTTGCAAAAAATTAAAGGAAAGTGCTTGAGAGTGACAACATTGCTACGTCAGTATACGCTTGTAGTCATTTGGCGTTAATATGTTTCATTGGCCAACTATTTATGACACCATCCCTTAATATTCTTTATTTATGGAGTGCTTTTTGAAATCCAGGTTATTGAGTGTGTCACGACGCAGCAAGAATAAAACAGATTGGCATCAGAATTTAAGAGACTGATGAAAGCGAAATGTTATTTAAATAAATTAAACACTGTACAAATGAAACTGAAATCCAAATGAAACCAAGAAAGACCCTTTGATAACTGATAAGCTTCTCTGAAGATTATTCCAGAGGCTCTGGGGCCTGACTGTAAATTTTCTAGTTTTTAGCCGAGCCCTGCAGCAGACAACAGACATCTACATGAGCTGTTTTTTGATTTAAGAGCATTGACTTTGTGTGAAACATTAGCTAAGTTTGGCCTTGAAGAAAAGCCTAGCCTTCATGGTGTGAGTACGCATATTTAACATCTTTCACAAACTTGCCTTTACCCTGGACGCTGTACCAGATCACTGTTTAGAAAGTTTTGTACAGATAACAGACAGATATGGACAGTAGACACACGTGGTTCTACTTGTACTACAATAGTGAGACCTTGGTGTGCTATGCGGACAGTCGCATTCTCCTCATATTGTACGTAGACATTAAAAAAAAAAAAACACACACATTAAGCTCCCATGGATGTTTCTGCAAGGCTGCCTGAGACTTTGTACTCATCTACTGGATGTAGCAGCCAGCTCCAGACGGGGCTGTTGCACCTTGTGTTTATACCTGAGGTGCACATGACACAGGATATCTGGAGATCTTAGGACTTACTACTGTGCTGGGACACCTTTAGTGGAAAGCATGTACAAAATAAAAGTCCTCCAAAATCCTGCGGCGATTACTTCAATTACTTTTACTGATGAATTGTGATGGTGTGGATGACGGTGGATCTCTTTACACAGTCTCTCCTCTAAACAAACTTTTGTTTTACGCACCACTTGCTTTCCTGGCAGTTGGTGAACTTGCAGCGTGGATTCTTGTGGACTTGCATAGATGACAAATTCTCCGTCGTGTTCAGCCTTGTAGACACGGAAAGCTTCAAACGGCCTTAACAATCACTGCTTTGCCTTTCTGAATGTGATGCTGCCTCACACATAGTCCACCTGCTGCAGTGCTGCTGCTGCTGTCATCAGTGAACTGCTGGTATCTGTGTGTAGAGATTAGTGGAAGTGTTTGATGATGAAGGAGGCTGCACTCAAGCCCTCTGGAGCAACTCTTAGAAACAGCAGCCTCTAAATAACGAGCTGAAACTGAATTAAACATGCACCCAAATCCAAAAAGTTTATACTCCACAATGTTTATTATTTCATTCAATTGTACTATTAGTTTCAAGTTTTATATTACCTCGGGATCTCAGTGGCCTCATAGCTAACAATGGACACGATAGGAAGAGAGAGTATTGTACCGAATTATATCAGGGGGGTAGAAATAAGACTAAATGAACGATGATGCCGTGTACAAAGACAAATGTTTGCAAACTCTCCATAACAGCCTTATAGGCTGTGACATGTTGTAGGTTGTGCATCCATCAGCTCATTTTGATATTTTTCTGCCCCCTGATGGTCATAAATTATTTCAGCTGCAGGGATTTTCAGCATCTTGCGCCTCCAGTGTGCATCGCTTTTTACCAATCAGCGTTTGAGTCAACAGCCTGTAATGGAGCAACAGTCAGGATGCTTTCTGTTGATGTACTCTGAGTCCTATCAAGTGAAAATTACTTCACTTCATTGCTGAACATAAACAGAAACTTCTTTTACTGTTTTCGCTCCCCATCTGGAGTTAAACTTTGAATCTTGTTCTACTTTTTTTTATTGGCTGTTGTAAAAGCTCTCATTAAGTCTTTTCAGGGGCCCCAGAGAAGTTTGAGAAACTCTCGGCCCAGTTTAAATCAAAAGCACTAAAAGCTTCTGATTTGATAGACTTGGTACAGTCCATATCAGATTTGAGTCATCAAGGTCTTTATTGCTTATCTGTGTGAAGCCGTTAAACTCCCTTTTTTCCTCCCCAAAAAAATGTGATTTTAATGGGCCGTCGAGGCGCCAAGCCACCGAGCCGCTTTCCGTGTTTGCAACTTTCACTCTGTGGCCTACATTTTAATTGTCCGTCTCGCTGCGGCGTGAAAGTTGCACAACGCACAAGTGACAATCAATCTCGCTTACGAGGCGTTGTCATCAGCGAGACTCGATGACGGTGATCTCTGCCTCTCCGGCTGAGAGAGGTGAATCCGCTCTGCCTGATGAGTAATTACGGCTAATTTCCTAATTACCTGAGCACCGCGCTTCTCTGTAGCGTTCATTAAAAGCTATAATTGCATTGGGTTGACATGCTCTTTTATCCACTTTGGGTTCTTTTCTGGCGGTTTAGCTGTGAGCTAGCGGCGCTGCCCCGGCCTGTCTCAGTCGATAAAGGTTGATTGAAGCCTTGCTGCGGGGAGTGTATTGAACACGGCTTCTGACGGCACCATGATTATCAAGGTTGCATGTGTGTTTCTTGTGTGTGCACTGCATATAGATGCATCTCTCTGTGCCAGATTTGCTTGCAAAAAATCACTTAAATACAATTTGGGAGACGTTTCCAGAAGCTGTGAACAGATGCTGCTTTATTTGGCTTCACCAAGTGACACTCGCCAATAAAGTAAAGGAAAGAAACCTCCTCCTTCGCTTTTACATTGTGTCGCAGCCACTTTCTCTCCGTCTGCATCCGTTTCCTTCCCAATTTTTCTGTCTTTACAGCTTTCTTTCCTCTCTTCTGTCCCCTGTTTTGCTCTTTCCCCCTCTTGCATTGATTCGGCTCTTCTTTTGTCTCAGAGAGCCGGCCTCCAAGTTGTCAGCTGCGTCAGGATTAAAAGCTATTAGTTCTGCATCATTGCCACTACAAGTGCGCTCCTGAGATTGATAGAGTGCCTCCGTTCCTCCAGTGGGGGCAGAAATGGGAGGAAAACAAGCCCGGGGGGTGGTTTTTACCTCACATATCTGACAACGGTCACCTAAAGGCACTCTGGCCTTGGACTGTCCCTCAATCTGTTTTACATGTATGAATTGATTTCCGCTCAAATGTCTGCAAATCCTCACCAGCACACAGTCGCCTGTGTTTCAAAAGGGAAATCTTAGATTTCCATGCAGGCCTTTAGTGATTTTAACACCCATTCTGTCATTTCTGGTCCCATCTCAGACCTAAAAAAGCGCTAATGAAGCTTCCAGGCCTTTCTTGTTTGGTTTGCATAGTCTTATCAACATAATAATGGATTCCTTGGCGCCAGGGATTTGTCAGTTGTCTCATTTCCTTTCCCCTGGTGGGCATTATTCAGATGAACACATTTATAGTCAGTTGGACGGAGGCCACATTAGTGTTTATTTTCCTCAACCGATTCCCCGTCTCCGCCGAGTGTTTTTCACATCGCTGCAACACTGTCACCGAAATAGCCGCCTTCGCTAATTTCATGTAGCGAACTGGATATTTTTTCTTTATTGTCAGCAAATTCCCTCAATGTTGTTGGACGCTGCCTTATAATTTATTTCTTTTGTCCCGTGACAAGTCTCAGATGAGGTGAGAGGGAGCACCTGGGACGTGTTGTTGACTCAGCCTAAATGAAAAACCGAGTTGTTTTTTGAGGGTTGGAGAAAATATGCAGTTCGATACCCACTGCATGTGAACCAGGGAGGCCAGTTTAGCTCTTCAGAACACAGACACACTCAAAACCAATGAACAATATGGATGTTTATGCCTCCTTTAAGGATCACTGTAAGGAAGAAGGTACAGTAAAGACAACTAAACGGTAAATTTGGTTCCCGGTTTGGTTTTACTGCCTTATTCCTAAACACAGCAGCTCTTTCAGCTTGTTCGGCTCAGTAATGTGTTGAGACGTGGTCTGCCTCCAGCTTCTCCCTCAGCTCTGCATGTCAGAGTTGCAGTGTAGTCAAACAAATCCAGGGGTTTATTGTACTGTCACATTCTAACACACACCTCATATTTCATTGCAGGCAATTGTCGGCTACTTTGACATTTTCTTCGACAAAGGCTGCAGCAACAAGGTAAGCAGCAGCAGCAGCAACAACCGAGCCATTTAACGTAAACTCAATTATGTTCACGCTTTAGCGTGTTCCTCCTCCCCGAGGCGTTCACTGGCAATCGACGGGCGTCCTAGCCGACTGCTGATACAAGCACTTACCCAGCAGAGCCGGCCGGTTGGAACAGCCGATGCCAAGCTCTGTGAGCAACACAGACATGCCTTCTGACTGCACTTCCTATCGTACCTGAGACTCGAGCTGCATGCTGTGGACGATCCAGTAAATTACCATCTCTGCTGGGAGCTAAAGCTAAAAAAATGGGATTATCTGTTTGCTTTGTAAATACAGTGCAGTTAGGTTTTTATGTATTGTAAAGACGAAGCTGTAAATGAGTTTAACACAAAGACAGAAGTGTAAAAGTGTAATGACAATAACAGGAACCAGATTGATTCACAGCATTAAGATAAATAGGGCTTAACTTGCACCTTCACTTAATTTTGCTTGTGTCGTTTTTTTTTTTTTTTCGCTCTTTTCTATTACTGTAGAAAAAAGGACTTGCATTAAATGACATACATGTTAAAAGCATTGTTTCTTGTAGCCTCACGTTGAGGCTAGTTTGCTCTCCCCAGATTTTTTAAAGTAGTAAATCAATTTAAACAGATTTATAAATATATTTTAATTTCTTCTACAGTCAAAAGTTGTTTTGCTATTGCAAGATGCTACGAGATGACTGAGAGAATTACCAGTGCTGGTTTGTGATGGCTTTTCTCATGTTTTCTTCCTCTTGTTTCCACATTATTGCTCCAGGTGATGTTCTCCACAGGTCCTCAGGTCACAAAGACACACTGGAAACAGACTGTCTTCCTTCTGGAGAGGCCTGTTTCTGTCCAAGCAGGTCAGTAGCCACACGACAGGAAACAAGAAATGTGCAACTGTTAGCTTCCACTTGCATAACAACAGGTTGAAGAAAAGAGTATTTAGATTCAGTTTTGCTTCGATATGCGCTGCATGTGTTTACCTTCTCTGGCGGCTGCTTTGCACTCTTTTGGACCCTGGAGGTGTGTCATAGCGAGTTGCAGCTGGTAATCTATCTGTGGTGGAGATGTAGTCAGGCTGGTTGACACCCGTTATCTGTCACCCGGAGCGACAGCGAGGGATCAAAACAAATCGCGTTCAGCCATCAGAGACAGCATGTAAAACTTCATCTGATAGCCGGTTGCAGGACTCTGAATCATGACACGTTACGAGAGAAGCGCTTTGTAACTGGCCAGTGAAATATTTATAGAATCACTGTATCAGCATATTAAAAACATTCTTTACTGGTGCAGCTCACTGCGAGGCAAAAACTATATGAAATGACTTTATGCAGGCGCAACCTCCAGCAAACGTAGCGGAGCATCTCGTACCGCTGTGACATTTAACCGACTTGTTATTGTTCTACGGTGAAAATACCATCAATAGACTCTGACATAGTAACTTGAGCTAATAGCTATGTATTAATTTAAAAAGTAATGCCGATTCCAGTTTTGAAGAATGGCTCACTCTGAACCACATTAATACCAGTCATTTTGTTTTATGATAGCATCTATTGCAATCACATGCAGACGCTCCAGGCAGCGTGTGCCGAGCTGTTTATCCTTTCATGTCTCGGCCCCTGGTGGCATATATCAGGGCTCTTACACTTTATAGAATCACTTGTTAGGCTACTTACACACTGTCAAGAGGCTGCTAATAGCTACTAAACCCCCATACAAACAAGCATGCACTAAAACAGCGGCGTACAGCTTGTCACGGTGCCGACATACTTCACTGTAGCTATTAAGGTACAGTGTGTAGAACCAGCAATAAACGACTTCCAGGGATGTCGGACACGTTCTGTTCAAGTGAGGCGGTGGAACTTCACAAAGAAGAAACTGCAAAACTTTGCCCAGAAAAGTTTCGTCCACTTATCACAGGCTGTTAAAGCGCCCTTGCGTAGTTTAATGCACTCAAGGGTTTTGCTCCTACAGTCTGTCTTAGTCTGGAAAGCCCAGTAGTTCACGGCAGCTCAAATAAAACTGTCACATCAGCATGTTATCCTGACTTTTCAATCTTAAAAAGTTTGAAAGGTGACACTCTGTTGAAGAACTTTGAGGTTTCAGGAGAGTTTTGCCATGGTGTTGCTGCTCACTGCTAGTGTTGCGCGGTGCACCAATACGATAAAGGTATTGCCATATCCTCCTGGGAAAACCATGCTATACTCTTTTATTAGTGCCAGCACTTTAAGAATAACAGTGGCCATTTTTCCTGCGAGTTGCCTGGATGTCCAGCAGCAGGGCAGCGTGAGTGTGTTTGTGCTCTGCTTCCTCTCCCTGCAGACATAGTGGCTGCACCGTTTTTTACTTCTCTCATACTGCAGCCTTCATGGTGACAAAACGAGAGGCATGGCTGCAAATACAAGCGCTCGCCTCGACCGTTCGGGGATTGTCCACAGAACAAATGCACACAGCGAAACGCAGCATTATTTTGCAAGCATAGCAGACAGTCTGGGCAAAGCCACTAAAACTACAAAGCCTGTCTGTAAAAGATGTTTGTCCTACGTACACCGAGAGATCCAACACGTCCAGCTTGACAGAACATCTCTGCAGCAGACTTGTTCAAAGGATTCCAAAAGTGACAGGTCAGCTAATGTGATAGATAAAATAACAACTAATTTTTGCTTTGTCTTTTTAGCGAACCTACCAAAATGGCAAACATCTCTTTATGCAAATGCATCCTTAACACCAGTTAGCGTTAACGTTACCGTTACATGCAAGCTGGTGAAACTCAGGTGTTCACAGTGTAATAAATGAACAAAGTATTTGTGGGAGAAAGAGTGAAAATTCTGCAAAAATTTGTCCCTTTTTTTTTTTTAGCAGCAAAGTGACACGTGAAGGTGGAGAAACTCAAATATGTAAAGAGCTCATCTTAATAAAGGATTGCTCCAGTTCTGGCTGGATATGAAAATATAGGAACACACTGGTGTACATGAATTCCTTTCTGAGATTTTATGGCTTCTTTTTACAATCTTCACTGCTTGGCATTGATATATTTTTATTCTTTTCTTTTTTAATTTTTTTAAAAAAGCTCCATGTACTGTCAAATATTCTAGTAATACTCGTCCAGATCTTTTAGGTTCTTCTTGTGGTATAATTTCAGTATCGATATGTTTTGGCAGGTGTTGCATTGAAGTCATCATTCATGGTTCAGTTCTTCTTATTTTTATTGCACTAAATATCTAAATATTAATGCACGATATAAATTCAGTGCTTCATGGGCATCAGAGCATTAACTTAAGGAACTGCATCTCTAAGCCTGGATATTTAGATCAGCTTTTGTAAAATAAACACGGGACAAATCTGTTATTGGTAATGATTTCTTAAATCTCGCAAAAAGTGCTGAAAAGTAAAATAATTTCTTTCCCACATTTCCTACTCCTAAAGTCATAATCCACATTGTGTGAATGATCCTGTACTTAACACTGCTATAAGCTGTGGCCCTTTGTGTGCGTTATCATAATGGGAATCGCGGATATGTCTGCTGATGTGTGAATGGATGAGCCTCAGGACTGGCTGTCCACTCGCTGACCACATATCAGATGGAGCCTACTGTAATAAATGACCTGCGCAGGGACGGAGGCGTTTGATGTCCGGCGGCCCTTAGTCGCACTCAGCCCTCGCCGGCGTCACCCTGGACGATAAGAATGTCAGAACATCTGACGCTGCTCAAATGCTATCGCAGGTTTTGCACGCTGCTGGCTCAGATAAACACATCGGAGAGAGCAGAGGACAACGGTTTATTAATATAGGACGGAAGTGGAAAACTGCAGAATGAAAAATTCTGACGATCTGGTGCATAATGCTAGTGTCCGTTTCACTCTGCATTCACCTGATTATCTGTGTACATTCATGCACATACATGAATATGTATACAGTTTCAAAGCAGTTGAGTGCAGGTGAACATCTATTGGCAATTAGAAATGAGAAGATATGTTGTATGAGAATAGTGTTCATCCAAGACTTGGAGAAGAAGGAGGAACAAAGCTGTTTTAGCTGCTTGTGACAGATCCCCAGCTTGATTTTTACAAACCAAACTAAATTATTACCATTAAGACTCCATTTTAACTCAACCTTTAAATTCCTCCTCCGTCAATAGCAAAATATTTAGAAAACCAAGAACTTGATTTCTTTCATATTCTTGGTCTCCACTGGATAAATCATCATGCCTTGTGAGACCAAAGAATATTTCTCCTAAAAACTATCAATGTCCACCAAAAAATTCCATTTGAACACAAGAAATATTCACATTTAACGCGCAGGTTTGGTGAAATACAAACAGCAGGTTTGAAGAGAAGTATGAAGGCTGATAGTGACAAGCTGGTGATTTGTCTTGATCTAAGTGTACATGCTGCTGTAGCTTTCAGCCCCTAGTAACCTTGTGTAGGTTAGATTTTCCTAATAGATAGATGGATAGATACGAGGTGCATTCTTGAAGCTCCAGGACTGCGTCAATGAAAAGCGAGAACCTTATTTATGTTTGTCAGCTATCGCCCTTAAAGCAATCTTCCAAGTGCAGCAGTTCACTGCCTCTCGTGCTCCAACCTTCATGTTGAGGATCATCAGTGGTGACGGGAGTTGGGTCTGCGGCTTTGACCCAGAGACCAAACGGTAGTCTTCAGTGAAAGGGCCCAAAGTCCCCAAGACTGAAGAGTGAGCATCAGGTCAGCACCGTGACAAACAGCATTCTCGTCCTTCTTTTGAACATTCACTTGTTGTGTGTTGTGAATTCCTCCCCCCGAGTCAGACTGACCAAGCTCTAGTGTAACATCCTGAGGGATCTGAGGGAAGTCATTCGGTGCAAATAACCTCAATTGTGGCGCTTGCTGTTATGCCAGCATGTTCCCTCGTAATGTTTTTTGGCAGCACCAACATAATTGCTGCTCTTCACCCGCCCTAGTCGTGAGATTGACTCCTTGAGAAATAAAAAAAAGTTGAAAGGTCACCATTTTAACACAATGGAAGAGATCCAACGCGAATCTCATCTCGTTGGACTTCCAGGGAGTTTCCAAAGAATGGCAGAAGCACTCGGAGCAGTGTATCACTACAGAAGAAGATGAATTTTTCTAGGTGGCCAAACTTAAATCAAGACTAAATATGTATTCATCTACCTGCATTTCTGATTTTAACGCCCCCATGACCCTTCCTCTCAAGCTAGAGAGGGAAAAAAAAGAACATTTTATTTGAGAGGGATGAATGAGAGCAAAATCATTAGTTTTGCTCTTTCTGCAATGTAACACACATGACTGCCTCTAGAGGCCACTAGACCTCAGCCTGTTAACTTCACTCATGTTCTCAGGTAGTAAAGATTCTGACAGTTCACCTCCTCGCACAATCTTTCTGTCTTTTTTTTAACATTATGCATGAATTTACAGTTAGACTTGGGTTGACATATGGGAGCATTAGTCCGGACACCCGCAAATGTGAGCACATGTTCACAGCCTGATCTATTTCAGTATAGACCCCGAATTGACCTCAAGTCTGTACAGATCCATCAGTCTGAATGCGTGCTGAATATGTGAACCAAGCAGTGTGAGCAGAAAAAAGTTAAAAGGAAGAAGAAAATGAAGGCGGGAGTGAGAAGCAGGTTATTGATGTGCTCGCTCTACCCCGGCACCCTAACGGTCCCCAGCCTCCTCCAGGGGCCGTAAACCAGAAATGGAGTTTTTAACAGCATTCACCGGCTGCCTGCTAGGCTCCTATGGTGTACTTTACAGCACACACACACACACACACTGCTCCTTTATACACTAAAATACACAAAGGCTCTTGCATACTTCTATACTAAACTCCCGTCTGGCTGTAAGAGAAAACTTTCTAA